TGCATTCACTATTTTACACAAGTATAAAAGCATTCGTAGACATTATTCTCACTGATTACGTCACCTCACACACCTGTCACTCGTTCCTTAATTAACACTAGCTGTTTTCACCCAGTCCCTTCACCTTCTTTATACCCGACTCACTTTTCACTCCCTTGTCAGTTCGTCGTTTGTTTTCAGACCGACAACCAGCGCCATTCTCCTTGTTTCTTGTCATTGTATTGTTACCATCGGGTTTTGTTTTCCTCCAGCCTGCCTACCCTGCCTGTTTTCCTCGACCATTCTCCCCGGACCGTTACTCCACACCACCAGCCAGGTCGGTACACAGTCACCAGACTCCATCTACCACCCACCGGCCAGACATGGAGTGACCCTAGCGTCCATAGCTCAGCCTATCTCACCATATCCATCCTACTTCTTCCTAGTTGTTATCTACCTTAGCACAGCACAATAAACCTGCTTGCACTGAAGTCAGCCACCTGGGTCTGTTTTTCCTCGCTCACTCACCCTCCAACGAGTGAGTGGTTATAACAAACTGGAGTAGAAGTATATAGTAGCATATGTAAAACTTTGTAGAAGTTAGAAATGGAGCAGAATGCACTCACAAGAACATTTGTTCTGATTTCGCCTTGCCAGCAGCAGCCTAATTCATTGCAGTGATTTAGCCACGAAGAGCTACATAGGGAACTGGAAGGATTTCACAAAAGGGAATCGGAAGGATTTCAAAATAAAAGCTTACTATACGGTTGTACCAGTAGCATGAACTAACAAGAAAAAAAAAACAATATTAGTACTACTGATACCCATGGATAAATAGGAGTTATGCGCAACTTACTTCCGTATACTGCAAAACAGAATCATCCGTTTCCGGTTTGCGACTAGTATGAAATATGGCAGTGTTCTAGGGGGATCGGCCAAGATGGCGATCGTGTAACACCTCTGTTAGGACGTCTCCAAGGAATGCAACTCCAAACCATATTTTTGGCTCTCTAATCTCGTTACAAACTTAATTAGGTCTTCTCTTCACACTCTTGAGTGGCACGATTCTATGTATATGAGTGCAAGTCTCTGATTACACCTAACTTGACCGGACTAACTTTTTTATACAGCAGGCTAACCACGCTTTCGCAAGCTAGCGCTTTTTTAAGAAGAAATGAGCGTCTTCAAACTCGGCACCGGGAAAAGAAAGGACAAAGCGCAGGCAACCCCAAACAATAAATTTGTCCTGGACGACCACTCTTACCCTGAGGTGAGCACTAATCTTTTCAGTAAAAACATGGATGTAGCTGAGGATGTAACCCTGCAGCCATTTCCTGACTCTCCGTTGGCCAGCCCAGCAAGAAAAAAGAGTCTCACCAACGACCTCTCTTTGCATGAACTGCAGTCGAACATCATTAGTGCCTTAACGGTGAAGATAAATCAGAGAGCAGACAAGCTGGAAAGCATGATAATTGACAACGCTAACACCATCGAAGAACTTAAAAACTCTCTAGAATTTGTTTATGGGGAAATCAGTGACATTAAAAAAGATAGGAACATGTTGCTCGAAAACTACCAAAAACAACAAAACGAAATCAGTAGCCTATCTGACAGAGTGGCGGACGCTGAACGCTATAAGAGGAGATGGTGTCTGCGCCTCTATGGTATGGCTGAAGAGGAGGGTGAAGATGTAAAGCGGAGAGTCTCCGTGATTTGCCAAAGGGTCGCCCCGGAGCTGGGTGAGAAGGCGCCGGAGAGCATTGATATTGCACACAGGCTAGGCAAGCGTGGTAGCTCAAATACAAACACACAACCCCGTACTATCATCATTCTCTTCACTCTTCGCTCGGTGAGGGATCTCATCTGGAAGAAAGCGAAAGACAATCAGTTCCTGAAAGAGAAAAGGATCCGCTTTGGCGAGGATCTAACGAAAATGGAGAAGGACGCCAGAGCTGCGTTGTGGCCAGTCGTGGAAAAAGCCCGCAAGAATGGTCAGAAGGCATACTTTATCGGTCCAAAGGCATTCATCAACGGGAAAGAGATTCGTGCAGGATAAGAACTATCTTCCCACTGCATGAGCAGAGATTTGTTAAGACTCACAATGATAATTATAAAATGGTAAACTGTGTCTCTGAAGGGATCAACTCCTGTTTGGTCTTTTGACCTGACATCTTTGAACTAACATTACTGAAGATCAACAGGAGACTGACAATTAATAAGAAACCTATTTAGGGACACTTTTGTTATTGGAGTTATGATTGAGTTCCTTATTCAACTCGAGCTAAAACAAAAAAGAAAATAATCAGTATTGATTTCAAACCACAACTTTTTATAGTTCTTATATTTACACAGGTTAACCGATTCAATGGAGTTGTTCATTCCTTGGTTAATGTTCTCAAAGGTAGTTATATATTCTGATGGAGTTGAACTTATTCTCAGTTAATACAAGAGGTTTACGAGACTTGATAAAAAGAAAAGCTCTTTTTCTGTTTTGTAGAGAGGTGAAAGCAGATCTGTTGTTTCTGCAGGAATGTCATTCTTGTCCAGATGACTTGAAACTTTGGAAGAATCAATGGGGCAGTGAAATTTGGTTCTCACATGGCACAAATCATTCTGCGGGGGTAGCTATCCTTAAAGACAGATTTAAAGGAAAAATAGTTGAGTCAAGGAGTGATTCTAATGGCCACTGGCTTTTGCTTGTTATTCAATTAGCAGAGAACCACTTTGTACTGGGTAATGTATATGGATATAACCTTCCTTCATTGAACCTCATGCTACTTAACAAATTAGAGGAACAGATCAACTCACTTTTAGAAAAATATCCACAACCCAAAATTATAATAGGTGGTGACTTTAATATGGTTTGGTCAGACTTAGACGAC